GTTTTCTCTTCCGAAGCGAGGATTTAAAACTTCGAAAGAATGGATCTGATCTTCAAATAAGAGACTGTTCATTTCTTGTTTTTACAGATACTCTCTAGCAGAATCGTCAGGATTGAGGGAAGAGACTCGAGCTCGAAAGCTGAATACCGTTGACTGGAGTTATTCAGTGGAAAAACCAAAATTTGATAATTCAACATCAGAATCAGTTGTTTTAGAAGAAAATTTAACCATTGAGAAATTCATATCTATTTCTTGCAAGCAACTTTAAGTTTATTTTTACTGTATTATGGAACTATTTTATGTATAAAAACTAGGAATAACATATTGTATCATAAAAAAAAATCTCGACTCGATCAATGGTCGATTAGATGACTCAAGAGACTGATTAGAAGATATATGCGAAAATAGTTTTTATATATTGGATATCAATATACTCTAATGAATAAATATTATACTTGAAATCTTTGATAATTTTCTAGACTCTTACCTTGATGACCAATATAACTTTTAATAGGTATTTGTTTTTTAATATCTGTAACATAAACTTTACAATCACCTGCACCACCACTTAATAAAATTGAATCATCTTTTAAATTATCATGCATAAAAACAAGATCTCGAACTGTGCCATTATGATGTGTTAATTCAATTTCAGTATCTATAATAAATAAAAATCAACAATATTCTACATATATTCTTTTTCATACTATTTGAATTATCATCTGGTCTATCCATATCAAGTCGAAGAATTTTAATAAGTTTATCATTTGATCCAGTTGCAATTAATTTTCCATTTGGTGACCATCCCATACAATAAATACTACCCAAATGATGTTTACCTCTTTTAAATAAAACTTTAGCTGGATTTGGTACAGAATCTGTTCGAATATTTTTTGTATCAGGATATGCACAAACACGAAGCATTTTAGAATTTGAACCAACAGCAAAATAATTACCACTAGGATGTACATCAACAGCACGTATTGCTTGAACATCTTCAATTGATACTAATGGTATAAATGCTGGTGAACGTGTTATATCCTAAATTATAATATAAAAGAAAATTTTTATTTTATTTAATTATAAAAAAAAAATTTAAAATACTTCAAGTGAATCAAATTTTGTTACATCATTAATAGCTCGCATTTTTGAATTTGTTGCTAAAGAATAAATATTAGTTTTTGTTTTTGTTTTTATTATTATTATTATTCTTACTAATTTGTTTTTGTAATTCATTATTTTCAAATTCATGTTCATCAAAATGTTTTATAATTTCTGCACGACCTCTTTGATATTCCTATAGAGAAAGACAAAATCAATGAAGAAAATTTAAATGAAATACTCTTTTGTTTTTTTTGTGGTAATTCTTTACTTTAAGTAAACGATCTGCTGATGAATCTGTACTTGTTGAACGACTTTCATTTTCATTTTCATTTATTATTGTATTATTTATTTGTTTATGTTTTGATGGTGATCGTGAACGTTGAGAATTTTTTGGTGATATTTTACTTCTTAATGGTGATTGTGAACGTTGAGAATTTTGTGGTGATATTTTATTTTTTGATGGTGATTGTGAACGTTGAGAATTTTGTGGTGATATTTTATTTCTTGATGGTGATAATGCACGTGGTGGTGTTATTGGTGGTGGAGTTTCTTCATAAAGAACTTCTTCAACTGTTGGTAATATTGTTGATGTTATTGTATTATTTATACCATTATCTTTTAAATTACATATAGCTAATGAACGACTCATATCATTAACAAAATTACGATTATAATCACCGAATATTTGTGAACGTAAAAGACCATAAGATAAACCATCATATTGTGGTGCTAATGAACGTGTCATTAATTCTGTTGAACGTGGTTTACCTGTTGGTGTTGCATTAAATGGAAACATTGTTTGAGGTTTAAATGGTGTACTTAATACATGTTCAGCCCATGCTGCTTCAAGTATTGGTTTTTGTAATTTATCAATATTTAATTTTAAAGATTTTTGTTCAAATGGACATGAAAATGTTTCTGTTGGTAATGCATGTAACCATGATAAAAGTGATACATCTGTATCTGATAAACGTGTATTTAATAATAAACAATTTGGATTTGTAAGATTAATTGTTTCATCTGTATTTGTAGCACGTGCTTGACAATGTTCAACACATGATTCATAAAGAAGACCTTTTATAAGTAATTGAATTAGACGATCACCTTGAGCTATTGGAGTTGCTTGTTTATCTACCTAGAAAAGAAGATTAACGATTGTCTACATATCATAACATTTGGATTATTTAAGTAAATACATTCAATATCTCTATTGCAAATTCATGATCTTTTTAAGAACTTTCTAAGTTGTTTATTCTTTATGAGATATTCTTACTTGTAAAAATCGATGAACAATTGGAAAAACTTCATTAAAACATTCTACACGTCCAGAACTTGGATTCCAATTATGATAATCTGTATGATCTTGTAAACGTTTAAGTGTAAGTAAAAAAGATAATTTTTTATATTCTTGTTCATTTGGTGCAAATGGTCGTAAATCATTAAGAAATCTAAAAGAATTATTTTAATAAAAAAAAAGACAAAAATATTTTAATTTACGTGACTATTTGTTCAACTGATACATCATTTTCAATTTGTGCTTCAGTTTTTAAACATAATAATTCTAAAAATTGATATTTTAAAACAATAAAAATAAATTGTTTAGCATCAAATGAATCAATTGTTTTTAATGGTTGAATAAAATCAATAACATCATCCCATTGTCCATCCAAAATAAGTTGTCGTAAAAAAAGTATATCTTCTGAATAAGATCCATTAATAATACCTAAGAAAAATAAAACAAAAAAATGCCAGATATCATATTTTAAAATATGATTAAAACCAGATATGAATAAATTTAATTGCTTTCTTTTTTTGTATAAATATACCTGTTTCACGTTCTACATCAAGCATACTAATATAAAGTTCACGTTGTTGAAGAAAATCAAGAATAAGTTTAACAGCATCACGTTCAGTTAATGAAACAGTCACTCGTAAATCACTACTACCATTTGTTGAAGACATGTTCTAAAGAAAAAAAAAAAGAAAAAGAAAAGAAACGAAACCGATAACGACGATATCTATGTAGTCATATTTAATTTAACAACTAATTCAACAAGATGAAAACGATGAGAGAGAACGAAAAAAGATATAGACACACATACACACACAAGCGTAGATGATGGTTTGTTTGTTCAGTTAACGCGAACGAAAAGGAAAAAGTGAATGTGAAGACGAGAAGATGATTACTAAGTGAAGATGAATCGTTTTAGTAGATACGAATGAGCAATGAATATAATGATGAGAATTGATGATGGAGAACGAGTTAAGTTATCAATGAAAATATCATATTCAATGAGTTATTTCCTCTATTTGTTTTTATTTTCACATTAGATGTCGCTATTTTTTGGTCTATTCCATTGTTAGTAACAAATAGACAATTTACATGAGAGAATTCTCAAATACTAATCTCAGTTTTTTCAATCAACTTTTTGCTTGTTTGTAGAACTTGATGAAATAAAGCATTCTTCTCCATTGACTGTACTAGTTTAATTCTCAACATTGAAAACTTAAACACTAGATTCATCTTAATTGTCTGTACACAATCATCATAAATAGACGTCCTAAGTACGTCTATGCTCAGGGAAGGGATTGTCCTCTTCAACCAAGAAAACTTTTTGTTTTTCTCCAACGAAGCCGAAATTTGTATTTCTTTGTACATTTTAAATCCTCTCACCAGCTCTGTCTATACTTAGGGTTGACCAAAAAAGTTCTATGCCCGGTGTTTAAAGGACCTTGTTGATTAAGATAACCTATTCAGAAATGAAAAATCAAATATACCATATTGTAGAACTTTTTGAGACACATCGAATGGTATATAGTAAATCCTGTTTTCATAAGACTTTGAAGGAACTAGAGTCAATTTACTGTTAGGCGACTATACACTCACCCATATCCACATTGACAAGATGACTGGAGATGCTACGTATATAAGGTTGTAGCCCGTTAAAAAACTCTACAAAATGGATAAATTTCGTATATGTACGGTATTAACATATTCGAGGTATAGACGTAAGTAGGGCTTCTATTTATGTTGATTGTCAATTAAGGTGAAGTTAGTGTTAATTTTTCAATGCTAAGAATTAAACTAACATAAAAATCGAAATTTTCGAAGTAATAGCTTACAGTCATCTTTCTGATGTTGTGATCAATTCTAAATCAGCAAAAGCAGCCAATGAAGAAGAGCGATTTTATGCCATCGTAATCAATTTATCGAGCTCTACAGGCTGGTACAAAGCCGATCAGAATTAGGGGTGTTTTCTTCTCAGTGACGTAATCAAAAGAAAACTGTAGAGAAACTCAAAGCCTTCTAAACGAGGGAGTGACTTCTCGTCGAATGATCCCACTATAAAACGTAGGCTTTTTTTTTAGAATGAGCTCTCGTGCAATACTTAGGGATTCAAATGTGAAACCAGATGAAATCGTGTGAATAGTGCATCCGAAAATTTCCTTATTACATTTATTTTTTTGGACTCAACAAAATACTGCTGATCGTATAAACCTAATCATACAAATGACAGTTCCAAGTTTATCGTTATAGATTTTTAAATATTGAATTTTTGAAAATATCTCATATATCAGAAAGAAAAGTTTTATTTATTAAAGTATTTGATTGACATATAAGAGAAATTGATAATAAAAATTATTTTTGATTTTATGCTTTATATCTGATTCGATAATATTATTTACTAAGAATATTTTCATTTGTCTTTTTAAATCTAGAAAATAATGTCAACATTTTTTTTTATAAAAGAATTTATTTACATTAACTTAAAATAAAAGAACCGGATTGAATAAGTGCAAACATATAGAAAAAATAAAACTTTTTACAGCAGACAAAGATTAATATACAACATACAGAAAAAAAAAAAAACAACAAAAATTTTTCTTTTTCAAATTTATTTATCTTTTCGGTTGATTTCATTTGTTTGCATCGAAAGTTTTGTATCAATCATTTTATGATCATGTAGATTATCACCTAAAATATAACAAGAAAAAAAAAGAAATTCATATTGCTTGAAAAGAAGAAATCATTTGTACTCACTAATATCTACGTAACTAATCGAACAATCTAAAAGAATATTTTCATCAAGACCATCATATGGATTATGATGTTGTTGAATTGTTTTTAAGATACTTTTTTTCGAAACTACTACATGTAGAGAATTTTCTTTACATTGTATATATGGAATTGAATTGAAAAAAATTTGTTTATCCTTAACTCCATGAATTTCAGAAGATTTTAATTTAGTTTCATTTAAATGTACAATAAAACCTTAATAAATACTATTAAACATAAATAATAATGAATATTACAAGAATTTTACCATTTTTTTCACTATCAGTATTCAATGGTATAGTAATTATTTCATTACCACATTTGCAAAGTTGTTTTGGAGTTACTTTAGATGAATTAATAGCTAATGCTTTGTTACCTTTACCTATAAAATAAAATCTAAGCTTAGAAATTTAGTTTTTGAAAAAAACAGCTTTCTCCGAATGGATGATTCCAAAAGTCACTATATAAAAAAAAATAAATTTGAATATTTTCGTCGAATATATTTCTCGATGATAGAAGAAATTTCAAGATTTGTTTTTTTTTTTTTCATTAGAAAATCTTAGCAGCAGTAGAAGTGAACATAAGACTTTAATCAGGATAGTAGAAATTCTTATTTTGATTTTTGATCATACCATAGTTCATAGTAGTTTATTAATTATCTTATAACTAATTTATTTCAAATCATTTTCAATAATGACTAATATTATAAATAAAAATACAGAAATATTTTCAGTAATTATTTTAATGGTGTACTCAAAAAAAAAATCAACGTGCTTGATTTTATCATAAGTAAAACAAATAGAACAATGGAAAAGTACTGGAATATGGGAAATGATACAAATCAACAAACAAAACAGATGTTTTTATAAAAATGTATTGTCCTAATCAATAAAATCATATCCGACTGTTCAAGGTCAAGACTAGTTCTACTTTCTAGTATAATTATACTGGCTCTGGAGTATTGTCTCTCTACAGCACCTATATTAAATGAATAGATTGGGCATATCAAGACAAACGGAGAAGTTTGTTTTGATACTTCTTTCAGAATGGCAAAGGATTAAATTCTAGTTTTGATTTACCAAGTTTGTCGGCGTTCTCACCACGAGATGAAACTGCTTCAATTTCTTCTTTTGATTATTCTTCAACAACAAAATTTCTTGATTCAAATCGACTAAATAAATCTTTTTTTTTAAAATTTTTTCTATCTATGTCCAGGTCTGCTTAGAAGATATTTCTTTGGATTATCATTATTGGCTTCAATAAAGAAATCTTGCTTTTTCTAAAAATTTCTGCAGAGTCCACCGATGAGTAAAAGTTTTTGAGTCCATATTTTATCCAATAGTAGGAGTGTATATGACTCTAACAATTTCTAAAGGATTCATGCATTTGTAGAGTTTTGACTAAGAGAATTTTCCTTAAATCAAGATCTCAAGTGGCCCAGCTGATATGCAAAATTTATTGATATAGTACTGTAAGATATCAATTTTCCAGAATTTAGACATTTTTTTTCTATTGATATTATGTAATACATAGAGGTTTTAAAAAATTGATATCTCAGATATCAGTGTCCGACTCGGATCACAAAAAATTGATCGATTTCGAGTTTTACATAAAATAAACAGCAATTTGAGATGTGATAATGATTTCTTTACTCTGATTATCAACAGAGCATTTATAGATTCAAAGCAATATCTTCTAAGGTCTCATGATGACAACAAAAAAAAAACTTTAAAGTTTTCTCAATCACGGGAAAATCTAATAATCCGATTGATCGAAGTAAGACGGAGATATTCAAATCATTTTGTTGTTGTATAGTGATTTTTTGGAACACTCTATATATGTATCACAATAGACTTACTTTCTTCGATCATGTCTGTATCAACGAAATTCGATATAAATTCTAATTTATTTTTATCGGTTCGTCGACATAGACAAATACGAAGTTTGCATAATTTATGTAATTGATTTTCAATAGAAGTATCTTCGTCTTCATATTCAGATATTTCATTATCTTCATCTTTATCTATTTCATTATTGTCATTTGAGTTATCAATTTCTTCATTTGTTTTATATAAATTAAACATAAGTACTTTTAAACTAAAGAAAAAAAAAATGTATCATTATTATAATATATTTATTTATATAAATCTAACTAACTTTTTTTTACATTGATGATATTCATCTTCAGTTATGGGACAAAGGATAGCATTATTTTTTTTATCAAATCCATATATATCTTTAATAATCAAATCACTAAGTATTAGGCGTCTACTCCCATTTTTCTGTTTTTTTCCTAATAATTTTAATTTTTGAACTATTGTTTCCGGTGGTACTAAGACTTTTGATAAATGTGATTGATTGTCATAAGATAATAATTGAACAAAGATAAACAAATCATTTGGATTGTAATTAATTGATTTTGACCACTAGATATAAATCAAATAAAAGATTATAAAAATATTGATCAAAAATAATAAATCATTTTTTAATATTTTACTTTTATGCCAATATAACGTCGTTGTTTGCCACTTCGTCCTTGAATAGCTGGACACCATTTATTTTTTAAACAATTAATAGAACGTTTTTTCCAAAATTCTTGTGGTTGTTCAGAAATTTTTAATTCAACTAATTTTATTTCTTGAATACATTTTTGAGCTTGTGATAATAATTCTGATAAAGATATAATTGGAAAAATATCTTTTGGAATAGATGATGTTAAAAAATTTGATTGTATTACTGCTTGAATTTCTTGATTCAAATGACATCCATTTTGTTCACTTGGTGCTATTTATTTGATAATATATATTCAATGATTACAGGGAGAAGAAAAAAAACATACCAGCAATTGTTTTTTCAGATGTTTCATTTAATTCTTGTCCTATGGGAATTGTATTATTACAATCATTTGTATTATCTTTTTGACGAAAAGATGGTAATGTATTAATTGTCATTTGAAAAAGATTCGATAATATTTTCAATGGTTCCTGAGTTGTTATATTAACATCATGAGGTGAAGGAATTTCAAATGTTTTCAAATAAGAATCTAGAATAAATTTAATATTATCAATAGATTTTTATTTTTCTTATAACAATATTAAAACAAACCTCCGATTGCACTAGGAATAGCCAAATCTACTAAAACTGGTTTCAGTGTATTAACAGCCAGAGTCAATTTCTCTAACATCTGACAACAATAATCATATGCAGTTATTTGTTGTTCACCTATATATATATATATCATCAATACAAGGATACATGACAGACAATAAACATAATAGAAAAAAAAAATATACAGATTTACTAAATTATATATTTTAATAAATAAAATATTTAATAAAAATCTAATCGAATTCCTAGATCAATGATTCCGGCGCGTGAATTTCTGAGTAGAAACCTCGAAAACACGGCGAGAGTCTGGTGATTGTATTTGTCGAGTTCCGATTGTAACTGACCATTGGATTCGATCACCGGATTTCTGTTTTCAAGTTCGAACAATTCTCGATTCCAATCGAAACAAAAATTCATCTTACTTAAATCAAAATGAACATTTACAAAGAAGAATATTAGAGAATAAATACATCACATTATTAGAATACCATTTCAAACTTATTAATATTGGTATAGAATTAATCGAAACTCGCTGTTAAGTTTTCACCATCTTAAAAAAAAGTTCATTTTCATTAGAAAAATATAAATTAAAATGCATGGGAAGATAACTCGAAGTGTGATGTTTGCTCTAACATATGCTGAAAATTTTATGTGCTTTGATTGCATCTGGTGCAAGATCGATTTTTGTAAAAGGGTCGTTAAAACAAATTTCAACAAGTTCAAAAGCAAGATCAAATGTATTTTTGATAGAAATACAGACCATAAAAAATTGATCCTGCTCATACCTATTGAAATTTTCTTACTTTTAGTGATTACCTTGTGCGAGATTTTTTTTTTTCAAATAAAATTATCATTGAATATTGAATGCTAGAAAGTAGGAACTTTCTCCATTCAATATTGTAATAGAGACTTCTTTTCAATAGTACATTATAATTAATATCTTCGTTTGTATAACAAGAAATGAAATAATTCATATATCGAAAAAGACATATTGATAAAATCTTTTTTCTAAATAGTAAACAAAAAAAAAGTTCGTAGTATTTCATATATTAAACTTATAAATATTCACCGGCTGTTTTTGTCGGTAGATAAAAACTATTGATTTCGGTCGGTGTAGATTTCAGAAAAGTAATTAGTTTAAAATTAAATAAAATTTTTATATTAAATCGCAAAATTAAAAGTTTATACGAGTGACAATGTCATCTATAATATTTTTATTTTATTCACATCTACTATTGGCCTTTTTTTTGATTAATAAATAAAGAAAAAGAATGACTCATACCTGTTGTTAATGTTTGTAAAATTTGATAATTTTGACTTGTATCTAATGTTTTAATTAAAATTATTATATTCAATATAGGATGAACAACTCACCATTAGTTGTATTTGTACTATCGAAATTTTGTTCATCATTTATTGTCATATCAGTATTTAACGATATTTGTTGAGAACCTTTATCAGTATCATATAAATCCATATCGAAAGAAGTTGAACTCATTGATAAACGATCACTATTTATTAATTCAACTTGTTGTTGATTTATCAAACTTATTGTACAATTTGTATTTTCTTGTATTTTTTGAATATTATCTGATTGAATAATATTTAATACATTGTTTTCATATTGATCATTAGTTAAACTTCAAATATAAACATACATAAAAATAAAAGCTTGTACAAAGAAAAAGAATACCTTGGAGTAAAACTCGATAACAATTCGTCCGCACTTATATCACCCTTTAAATAACTCACAACTCTTTGGATGCCTTGCTCATCCTTTTTATTATCTTCTATTACCAAATCGTTTGGATCCATTGAAATTAGTTCAATTAAGTCGAAATCTTTTGTTGCCAACTTTGAATTAGTAATTGATCTATTATATGCTTCAACGTGAATGTATTACAAATAGAAAACGAGAAAAAATGATTGTTTCTCTTTTTTTTTCTTCATTGTGTATCAATCAACCACGTCTTTGTGCCAAGTCGCTAGCTCGAGCGAGCTGGCAACAGAAAAGAAAAAAACTTACACAACATCATGTCATATTTGTACAGGATACAAAATATTGCCTTGAATATTAAAGTATTTCATAAGATTGGATAGATATTTACGAATCATATCAAAGACAGTTATTTACTAACGACAACTTAATAAAAGTTTATTATAATTATTTAATCGATCATTGGACTTCTATCAAACGAATCTTTATACTTTTTAATGAATAAATAACATTATAAGACGATAGTTAGAATACTGAATAGAGGTATATTATTGAAATATATATTCAACTATCTATTATTCTCATCGAAAGCATATGAATAATTATCTTGATATTACTAATTACAATTAGATTTAATTTCAAATCAATGTGATTCAAAGGTTTACTACAAAAAAATAGAACAAAAAAATCTTTATCTGCTAAAAACGATGACGAATACGACTTAATAATAGAGAGAGAGAGATGTTTGGTGATAAGACATACTTTGGATGATATACAGTGATTGAGATAGAATGAATTTTGTATCATTCAAATAGACGAGATATCGAACTATTTATAAAGTTAAATGTGTATTTGCTAAATCTCGAGTACTTTATCTTGTCAATAATATTGCGGTAGAGCAGATGTATTGAATCATCAAAAGAATGAATGCGAAAAGTATTAAATAATTTTTAATGTTAACATTTAGTTAAGATAATGTTCTAAATAACAATGGCTTTCGATTATGCCATTGAAATCAGATGTATAAATACAATTCAAATAAAAAGCAAAATTGAGAGATAAAGTCACATATGTATTGCTAATAATATCTTTCTATATAAGTTGCAAGATATTTACTATTAACCATATAACAATAGACGGACCATAAAAAATGATCCTCTCGGCTTGTAGATTTTTCTACTTGAGTTTTTTTTCCAAAAGATAATCCTTAAAATTCTCTATTTATTAAGTATTTTTTCATGTATTCATCTACAAGTTACGTTTTTCGTATTTATATGTCGAGCGCGAATGCACATGTAACACAATATATTTTTTGTTGTATGATTAATGATGATCTTTAAAATGTGAGCAACTAAGAATAGGGTTTAAAAATTGAAACTATTCTATTCTATATCTTATCTTCTAAAATGGTCATCATCTTTAATATATATTGGGAGGAAATTTAGATAACATTTCCTGTCATCATAATCATATATATTTTATTTCAACACGAAGTTACTATATCAAATTATTCTCAGTTTATTCTTATACATCCATCACCACTTTTATCATTATATATATTGTTCTACTATTCTCGTTCTTTCTCATTATTAAATCGACACATGAGAGAAGAAAAACGAAAGTATAAAGAAATTAAGGCAACAATAATAAAGAGAAGCGAATTGTTTCCTTATAAGTTAAAGGTAAAGAGAAATGCTTCCTACACTATTCACAAGGGACAAATAAACGATCATGTAAAAAAATTAGGGTCATAATCAGATTAAAATCAGAAATAACTGCAAAAAACAAATCGAAATTTCATTAATTCTTTCGATTATAATTGATCAAAAACTTGTACAAAAAACATCGATTTTAATTGTTTTTTTTCATTGTGATAAATAAAAAATCTTTAATCAGTTTCTATCGGTATGCATCAATTATTATCTAATTTTTATTCAAATTTTTTTTTTACATTGAAAGTTTTGAGTAATGTTGAAAATTGTATTGATTAGTGACTATAACCAAAATGTTTCTAAATAAGGTTCAAGATTATAACAATTTCAATATTTGACTGTTTTACTTTATTGTGAAACTTTTAAAGACATACTTTTAATTCGAAACCACGAATGCTTGATAAATATATGTTCAATAAAAATGATTATAATTTCTGGGTTTCTTGCATAGTTGTTAACATAGAAACAAAGCTTAAATTTGCAAACTAACGAATGCATAATTTCATTTGTAGTCGACGAATAAATACGAGAAAGCGTAACTTGTAGATGAATACATGAAAAAACAATGCTCAAAAACTAATCTATAAATACTGAGTTTTTAAAGTACAAACCAATGAAATGCATATATTTTAATTAATTCTATCGAATATGGCAATTAAATCAAAGTAATTACTATTTCAACTTAATTAAATCTAATAAAAAAAAACGAAATAGTTAATCGGGTTAAAATGGTTGACAAACATAGTTATTGTCATTTTTTGTCATTTTTCACCACAAAAACTATAAATATTGTGTGCTCGTGCATTTCGGTGACGATAATGTTCTCACTCACGTTCAAATATGGCCTGATATTGAAGAGACGCCTAAAGCTTTTTTAGCTAGTCTGTCACCACGTTAGAAGTTTCCTTTACTGACCAGTCCGTACAGTGTTTTAAGTACTGGTTCCAAACCTGGATCTACTTCGCAAGTTTATATTGAATGGCCTTTCTCTCTAGTATCTTATTTCGTTAATCATTCTCTTGTATCGTCTGATTTTTCCAATAACTTCGCTTGTCACTGTGTCCTTTTTGATTCAACTGATTGATATGGATTATATTTGAGTCTAGCTGATTCCGTAGACTCATAAGTGATTTCTACGAAGGTAACAGAAGGCAGAACGATTCAAAACCAAATCTACAATTTAACTATCGTAAAATACAATCCTCTATCCATGAAATTCGAGACAATTGAAGCTTTTTTTTTTGTAAAAGCAATCTATTACTGCAACTACAAGAATCGAGCTATGAAAATATCATTGAGAATATAGTGCTTGCGTATTGCTTCTAAGATGAATTATCGTGCATTAGGAAGTATTATGTACAGCGGAAGATTTACATAGACACTCTTAAGAGAAGTTCTTAATATCTAGACATTCTAAATATTTGTATCAAGCAGAAGTCATCCTAGATACAGTTTTGTGTAACGAGTGCATGGACAACGCGCAAATAAATCTGAAAACTTTCTCCTATTCTCTTCTACATTACTTGTTTCTCTTTTATATCCTCTTGTATGTGAAATTTTGATTTCGAGCGCATTTTTTATCCGTTTAGCTCTACTGATTCTGTGTCCCACCTTTCAATTAAAAAGAAAATTATTTTCAATGAATGCCAAGTAGAGGAACCGACTCAAAAAATGGTTTCCACTTTTCACTAAAGAAATAGCTTTAATAGATGTAGTCTACTCGCCCGAGAAACAATAGAAGCCTGTGTATGAAGTATAGATCCAAACTGTTTTCTACGCAGTAGTGCACTATTGAAAACAATAAATCATTTTATGTGTGTTGAACACATAGTAGAATAGAGAAAAAATAATTTATTTCGAGTGCAAAGAATACCGAAAGAAGCTAAAACTCTCCTTATATTTTATTTGAATTTTCTGGAGAATTCAGGATAGAAACAATCTATATTAGGGAAATTATAATAAGCGTAATGGCATAAAAGCCAGTCGAAAGGTCACATATTTGAACATGTAGGTTTTGTGGAAATATTATTTGGTTGGGTAATAGTTTAGGGATATGTAAAATATCTCTCATTGTTAAAGAACAAGCTCAAAAACCAGACTATTACAGCAATCGTCTATTCTCATGTTTAATATCATATAAAAAAAGCAGTCAAAATAGTCCTAATATTTAGATAGACTCAAAATCAATAAAACACAAAACATGTTAAACCGTATATAAAATCAAACGCGTTTCGAAATATCAAGACTACATCGGATACTCTAACGCGTTACAACTTCCAAACGAATTTTAAATTGTTTCAAATTCTAATCCATAATAACTATTAAAAACATACGAATTTATCGTGTAAATTTTCATTACATATATCGATGCATCTTTACGACGTTAAATATTTTTACGCATTCATAACGCTTAAAAATGTGTGCATTTTACGATTCAGAAATCATTTAACAGTTTAAACATGCTTTCATTTCTTACACATTTGAACTTTTTAATCAAGTCAATCTATTTAAAACAAAAAAGACGATTCCATAATTCAACCTTCTTTGACATATTCTCATGATTACTCCTTAACCCTTTCAATTTTATTCTCATCTTCTAGCATTATCATATTGATTAGGGTATGCATATAGACATTTGAGTAAATATGGATGTACGTTATTAGAAGAACACTACTAGACCGAGACGCAGATCCACATCCATATATAGATCTTATAGTTATTGGAAGCATCTTAAAGTTTGAGGTAAGACAAAGGTATTAATATCAAGATATTAGTTTGTTAGGCAAAATGTCTTTCTTGGAAACACAATTCAAAAGCGAAAGTAAATGATTGATACAAAACTATCCGAAAAGTACTTATATTTATAATGAATATAAACAGACATTGAAAAAGGAAGATAAATAATTACTATTCGAAAGAAAAGATAATTATTCAATATTCCAGTCACGTACAAGAAACTAAATAGTTTCATCAAGATTATTTGAAAAAAAAAGAGAAAATTATATTAAAGACAAGACTCAGTTCCTTAGTATCAACAAGAAACGAAGAACAATTTGAGAAAAGGACCAATAGATGATTTCGTAGAGATTACAAAACTGAATAATTTCATCAAGTTTCGAAAAGAAGTTATAAAAGTAAATTTATTTATAAAAAGAAATATTCTATTGCATCACAATAACAAAGTAGAATAAGATCAGATTTACTTAATCAAATACAATTTTGTTTGATTCTTAGTTAAAATCATATCCTCTTTCATTAATATTGTGTTGAAAATACGGTTGTTTTCGATACTTTATTAGCATTCTTCGTGAATTATTTTTATAATAAAAAGAGCACACTTTTGAAAAAAAGTAGATATTGATACAACACAAGTCTTTATATTTTTG